AAGAGAAAAGATCTCATGTTTTCAGATACTTAAAGATTATTTAAGTTTCTTTTGCTGACGTGAGTTGTATGCAAAATTATGCCTATTAAAGCACAAACCATGCTAGCATACAAGGTTCAAAATCTGGATCCTACTTCCATATTATTGATTTATGAAAGAAAGAAAGGAAGGCCTCCACCTCAGCATGTAAGATTATGCAGTGTATATGCTGCAACAAACAGCAATTTAATCCATGTTTAGCACTTCATCACCTTCTTGGATTTAACTGAGGTGTGTTGTTGTGGATCATGCAAAAATCAGCAGCACATAAGCAAATGCAAATTTAACAGCAAGACTTAACTTCGTCTCAAATCTCTTTTCTTTTCAGAAACTAAAATCAAACCCTTTACACTTAATGCACATCACTGCTGTTTCTGTAACTCGAGACAAAAAAAAATTGAAGTCAGCAAGTAATCTCTTGTAATTTACTGTAAGAGTGACAAACTTAATTCATGCTTGTTAGTTAAGTAAACGTAGCCATCAAATATAAACCCCAGAAATACGGAGTTCATAATACAAGTGTTGGTGGGCTGTTAACATAGTATTTGTGTGGAATATTGACAGTCATCTAATTAAAATTTTGTACCTACAGAAATGCATTCATTTCATTTGGGCATAAATGATTTTTTTTCCTCCACAAGTTTAAGAAAATAGTAAGTCTAAGTACACACAAGTGGTATTTTGTTACAAAATGGTGACTTGAAGTGTTACATGGCTTGTCATTTCTCATTTTTTCATTATCACTGTCAGTGTGAATTAGGTGTCCCCATTGCAAGGAAAAAAAAAACACCTCTGATTTTTGAGTAACATTATGATGATTTTTTTTTTTTTTTTTTTTTAAAGTCAGTAGCCTATAATATACTACAAAACACAAGGCTAGTGTCATGTATGCATGTGATGCAGACAAGGAGCAAGAGTACTGGCACTTACATGTTTCTCACCAACTGGGTAGGCAGGAATATGATCTTGATCCAAGAATGCATAAAGATTTGAGGCAAAAATTCTTTAAGTTGTTACTACAGTGCTCTTTTAGATAATATTGCAACATTTAAAGTCCAAACCAACTTAAAATATGGTCCCAGTAAGGGCTTGATCATTCCAGTTCAGAGTCTCTTGTTAAGATTTTCTTATTTGAACAAGAAGTTAACAATAAACTGTAGCAGAACCAGGAGTAAAATGAAGACATAGTGCTTAAGCTGCAGAAAGTTGTTGTCCAAGGGTGGTAAATTTGAAGTAACACGATTTCGTAGAGCCATGATGTCCCTATAAAGTATTTAAAAAAAAAAAAAAAAAAAAAAGAGACTCTTAAGTGTTTAGCTGATTAACAGTTTCTAATAATGCTGCTGTTCTTAACAGTTCAACTCTTGAAAACTATGAAAAAAAAAAATCTATCAAGCACTTTCACCTGCCTACTTTTAGAAAAAAGAATTTACACAGGACCTGTCTACATGTTCATTAATGTGCTTTGCTACCGCACATTAAATTTACTACCTCTAATGTGAGGTATGAAATAAATGTGCATTAGGCTGCCCTAATACACAGTAGAGAAAGTGCATGGTTTTTTTTTTTTGTTTTTTTTTTTTGTTTTTTTTTTTTTTTAAGTGAAGCTTAGTGTGCAGTAGCCTATTTTTTACTGTGCATTAGCATTTTAGCATGGTTTTTGGTGTGACAACGTAATGCACAAAATAGGCTACTGCACAATAAAGCACACATGTAAACGTGCCCACAGAGTGTCAAAAATCAAGACAAAAAATTAAACCACCACAAATAAAAAAAGGTAAAAAAATAAAATAGAAGGGACTTCACTTATGAAATCATATATTCTTCATACTTGTTGAAGGTGATACTAAGTGAACACATTTTACATTGTAGCTCTCTATTAAGATCAGTGAAAAAGTCAACCTCACATTTTTGTGCTTGAATTTAAAATGCTTAAGCACAAAGGTCCACAGAACAGTTCTTAACTTTACACTGATTTACAGTAAAGGCTATTTAACTTCTAGCAGTTTTGTTTTCTTGATATTTTTACATCTAATTTCTATTACCATTACAGTATTTTAACATAAGAATCTACAAGGCAGCACAGAACCTATGGAATTACCTGTACAGCATTCCTTAACAACAGGTGTTATCTAAATGGGTATTCATAATTTAATGTTGTTGAAAATTTAAATTTATAAGGCTTTATTTTTTTATTTTTTTAACTAG